TAATGTTAGCAAACCATAAAGCTTCTTACCCAGCTCTTCTTAAGCTCTCACACACAAACTAGCTGGAGTTGTCTATTTAAAGACGTTTACACTGCTTAACTTCTTTCCAAATTTCTGCTGCAGTATGGCATTTGACTTTTTCCTTATTTTTAGCATGTAAATACAAAAAAGAAATATTTACTCAACTCTTCTACACATTTTGGGTATTGCTATGCATTCACAAGCTGGGAATACAAGCTTGGTTCCAGAGCTGTACCAAAGCTTAAGACTGAGTGGTGTTCTGAGAGTTTCTCTCATCTTCTTTACTGAGCCAGGCAAGTCGAACTCTGTAATAAAGGTAATAAGGAGTAGACATGTGCTTTCATTGACAGGATCTGAATCAAAGCATGGAAAGTGGTACCCAAAATATTTGGGTTTTATTTCAGTAGAAGGCATATTGTGAAACCACAAGCCAAAAATATATGAAAGCACAAGTGAAAAGAAAAATCCAGCGTTAAAAGTTGCAGAGTTCTTTCAATCCACTTGCCCGGCGATAACAGAACAATAAAAGAATACAATACTAGGGAGTACTACTAGGCTTGATCTCAAAAACCATCAATAGAAAAAATCCTACTGGACTGGGCTAGTTTAATTTAGCATCAATTCTGAGTTTTGGAAACTGAAGAATCTCACAGGGAACTGAGTGACAATTTGATATTACAAATTTAAAATGATGGACAGACCCAGTATATATGTATTTAAATACAACTACTACTACTTCTATGGCATTACTAAAGCATATACTTCTTATGTATTCTTTTATATCCTCATAAATTTTGACCTGAAGTAAACCAGAATGCTATGAATACATTTTAATTGACTTGCAAAGAGAATAAACTGTCATCACATAACACTTCTATATTATATTCAAGAGTTTTAAAGTCTGAAAGGTAGATTCTCTGAAGTCAAATGCAGTGATATTTGGTTTCACACCTTTTTAGATTTGCTCCTTGTTTGGATGCTAGGGTATAAGAACTACCTAGTTATTACTAATTATTTCCTTTCCCTAAATACATATCTGCTTCACTTAATACAAGTAACCAGAAAGGACTATAATCATTATAGCTGTATCATTATTAACCATGCTGAGTCTTCATTAAAAATCATATCTTTATTTTTCATTTTACCAATCAGTTTTGGAACCAAAATAGCAAGATTTCACGTCTGCAATATGAATTTCAGATGAATACACATAAAATTGTATCACTAATAATTAAATCAGATTTTGATGATTCTGCATAATCTCTAAACACTCCACTCATGACAAAAAGGAGGAAGTGTCTTTACAGCTACTTTTACACACAACAGAAAGCACAGCACAAGAAAGAAAAAATCTCTTGCACTGCATTTAGAAGCTTCTTTAGTATGCAGTATCGTTCATCAGAAAAATGTTGATATTTTGAAGGCTACAGTTAAAGCGGCTTCTATGTGTGAAAGTTATCACCACTTCTCTGTTAATGAGATGCAGCATGCCTAAGGCACATCAGATACAAAGGACTTTCTTTCTCTGCTAATTTAGAGAATTAGAATGAGTGTGATTAAATATGAACCTTATTTCACATGGAAAACATCATCTGAAAAGGAAATCCTTCACCTTATACTTTAACTTTTGAAAGCTGTGCCTTGCAGACCTAATTTGAAATATCATCAATAAGGCAGCTCTGAGCTGGCTATGAGAATACAGCAAATAATAACTTTTTTGAGTATTTTGGAAGGAGTATTTTGAATTTTGTCAGTGTTTTCACAAGTCAATACTCAAAACAACTATATTTAAACACTTGAGAGAACCAGATTCACATATTTTGATGGTGGGATTCTTACACCTTCTTCTATACAACACTTAACACAGGGTAGCTGGGTATATGTATGAAAGGAAGAAGCACTTAACTGTTTTGGGGTTTTGAAAAATTTTCCCTACTAAACATGCATTAGTAAATAGATACAGGATGAAGTGTTGTTCACAGTGAATATCTGTCAATGCACAATTCATGACCTATTTTTATACACCTGTAGCTACACCACTAGTCCATAGAAAGCTACGAGGATATCTTGTTGCTCGACAACATGCCAAGATGAAAACTTGTTTGATGTATGCCAGTAAAGCTCTAGTGGAATCAACAGAACTATGTCTCTTGATTTCATCTGAGTATGTGGCTTACAGATTTGTCTCTCAAATCAAGGAACAAGCCTTTTTACAGCATCTCAAACACATAAATATGCATGCACTGATGTCTTGTTACTTCACTGCTGTCTTCTTAATTTGCATCTCAAATCTGTCAGTCTTGCTTCTAACAATAGTAATCCTAATTCCTATTAGCAGGCTTTCTGCTTCCATCAATCTCCACTGGCCCATGCATGTGTTTTGTGGCATCCCAAGGAACCAGATGGATGAGCCTCTGAAGGAACTAATGAAGGATTCAGGCCCAAGGGGAGAGGGAGAATATGCAGCTTTGCATGGGGCCAATGCTGCAAATTGGTTAGAACCTTCATTATCTCCCAATATTAGTGCAAACTGAGGGAACTCAAGACTTGCAGGAATGAGCCTGACTTAGCCTTAGCCTGAATCTGAGAGACTTATCCTTAATGATAAATGATCTTCCTCATTTGAAAACTCATTATGAAAGATTTCATTTCTTTCATGTAAAAATCATATCTCTTACCCTCTCCAAGCTATATATAGGGATTTTTCAAATCCAGCTGGAAGTAGGAGGTCATAGCAGGAACATAGCAGGCCACTGTTACTGTGAATTATGTCCAGACCAGTCCCAAAAAGGGGTAAGAAATAGAGATAGTGAAGGCTAAAAGCAGCCTAGCAGTAAAAAACCTCATCAGCTGCTTTTTAACATTCAGCTTGCAGAATGATATTGCTGTTTCAGGAGATCTTATTAGCAACATCAAATATTTTTCCGCCATCGTTTAAGGTAAGGCCTTATCAAATTAATTAGCAAAGTCTCTGAGGGAAAATTATCTACGTACTTCCACGCAGTTTATTGTGTTTTTTCTCAATGCTTATGTAGAAGATAAAGAAGGTGCGTCTCTAAGTGAGTTGGTGGATACGTGGTACAAAAAGAGAAAGTCACTCACCTACAACCTGGATTATTTCAGCTAATAAGACGCCATCAGTCACATCTTGCTGTAGATCCTTTATCAATCTCTTGTGGCCAGATTTTGCTAGGTAGTGATTAGCCCAATCGGTATAAATCTATTAGGGGGAAGATAAATAAACAAAAAGAAATTGTTAGTAATGACATCAACGTTAAAAATTAGAGTTCTAATCTTTGCTTACATCAGCCTCTCAGACGCTGAGAGAAGAGGACTGCTTTTGAGCTGCTTGAAACAAGTCAGCACCATTAAAATTCAAGGCATTGTGCAGATCAAGTATTCAGCCTACTATAGAATGGGTTTTCCTATTCAAAAATCTGACATCAAAGCTCACAGAAGACTATAGTAAACTAAAAATGTTACAGCTTGAATGGATCATCAGACATTGAACCGAATGTTCTGCATCAGTAACGTGTTTGTGGAATAGACTTCAATTTTTATCTAAGTACTTTTTTGCATTTTCCCTTTGACATGCCTTTCTTATGTCTCTTACTGAGAAACTTTAGAGATGCTTTTCTCAGAATCGTTTCTGATACATATTAGCCATACAGCAATTTCATTTTAAGGAAACTCCACTGTAATATTATCTAACAGGCCCTCAAAGGTCTGGAAATCTACCAGTTCTAGTAAGTTCTATTCCATAGGTTCCAGTAGGTCTATTAAACTGGGTTTTAGTCCATTATGCAAACTTTAATTGTTGGCATTTACTTTAAAATGTATGCTCTGAAAACAAAGCCAGCAGGGCAGCCAAGTTGAAATATCGCTTCAATTTGCATTAGTAAATGCTGCTCATAATGTGTTAGCACAAGACTTACCCAAGATCACTAGACAACTTACAAAATATTCCTCTCATGCTAGGTTATCAAAAAGAAGAAAGGGAAAAAGGCTTAGTTAGGAATTTCTGATTATGAATTAAAGAATGCTTTTTGTTCTTTGTGTAGGACAAAAATTAAGGGAAGATTTTTTTTCAATGATCTACTTACACTCCAAAGAAATATAGTAAACAACAACTAAATATCTGGGTTTTTTTTTTTTTTTACCTTTTACACTCAGAGAAAATATTAAGGTTCAGCCCTACTCTCTCTGTCCTATTAGAAACACAGCCGTGGCAGTACGGCGGAGTACATACATGAGCTTTTCGGAGCGTGGGCCACTGCCGACCCTCCATGGGCCTTACAAACCACCACACACTGTTTTTATCAAACTTTTAATTTAAAACACTCTTCTGGTGACAAAGGCCTCACACAAGTTTGTGAATCCCTCATCTAGAAGCCAAGGTCTTCACAACAGTTTTCAACATATATGCCACACACAGCTGAGGCCTGCCGTCTTGTCGCTAACACGGCTCGCACATGCTTCTCAAACGCTGTCTAAGCATGCTTTCGAGGGCCCCCGAAGCCCACGGAAAGCTCCCCTGCTAAGGAGAGGCTGCATTGGTCCAGCAACTACATTTTCATTCACAGCTACTGACAGTTAGCAAGAGAGGGCTAGGCAGCTGGCCTGGGAACATCGGGCCATCAAGTTTCCTATCCAGTCTTAAGGAATATAGATATACATATATACACATATAGATTACAGCTACTAAAATAGGATTCTGCCTGCTGCCACTGCAGGCAAAACACTCTTGAAGCAAACAGGGGTTTAGAGCCATTCCCCCCGCTCCTGAGCTAAGCAACCCCAGCAGCCCCTTGTGCCTCAACACCAACCCCTTAAACTACTGACTGCAAGCACTGAGCACAGCCATGGCTACTAACTTCAGAAGCACCTTCAGTAGCGTATTGAAAACACAAGGCTTACGGTCCTCTCATTCAGGAGAGTCAAAAGCCAACTCCCATGTCTGAGAGACAAGTATTTGCCACAGTGGCCTGAGGAACCTGAAAATAATACAAGGCGCGCCTGTAACTTCGTGCTCCTCTTGCACCTGCTAAATCAGTGCTAATGCAAAAAAATATATATATATATTTACCAGACCTATTTTGATTACAAAGTCCTTTCTTTTAATTGCAAACGCTGCAATTGCAAAAAAAAAAAAAATGTTAACAGCATTGAACAAATCATTCAAAATCTGAAACGTATGTCCTTATTTTGCCCCATTTATCCTTTACTTCCACTTTTACATGAGTAGGATGTGCCTTTCCCATGCCAACAGTGTCACAGACTAGAAAAGGAAAAAAGGCGGGATCACCTCAGTAAAACAGCAGCTCAGTGAAAAACAGCTCAATGAAACAAACACCGGTTTGTCTCACTGGTTTGAAAAAAAGCTTCACACAAACCAGACATTGTGTTCCTTAGCTCCTTTAACAAGAAAACATTTTCCATAACAGGAAGATATTTTTCAAAGTCTAACAGCTTTAAAAAGCTAGGATTGGCTTTACCTGTTTTTCTGCCACACAATTCTGGCTTGCTTATTTGCAAGCAGAAATGGACCCAGAAACAAGTTTAAAAGTCCTGAGCTTTACTTCCCCAACGCAATGGTCCACACACACACCTCCACTGCTACTGCAATTCAGCCCACGAGCAACTTAGCAGAGCACAATAACTGAGTTTCCTATAACGGGAAGGCTGTGATGAACGTCACAGTTTCACAGGAGGACTTTAAACCGGCATAAAATTACATTTGGATGCACCAGATCAAGCCGGGATCATTTCCATGATCCAGTTTATCATCCAAACTTTGGGTCAGCTCAAGAGCTAGGATAAGGCAGGAACGGGAAAGAGCAGCAGGGGCAAAAGCAGTTCTCTCCTGGCAGACCCTGAAACCACAGCAGGACCTTGAGAACCAGTCCAGAGAAACTTTTAAACCAAATACTACAGCAGAACACAAGTTTGGAATCGCAAAACTGCTATTTCACATTCATCTTCCCCCTGCATTAATTCCCGCTGCACTCAGGACCGCTAGACTTCCTATTCATGCCCTGTTAATAAACCGATCTGCATCAAAGAAAAGCCTAACTCCAGTAACTCCTGCTAAAGGAGACAGCTTGAAACATCCCAGATACTGGCTGGCTGAGTCAAAGTCTCTAAATACAATGCAGAAATTTCGGCTGTTGGCAAATTATTCTGTAACCGCAGTTCTGTATGTTGAACTCTTTATGCTCATCATATAATATTTCATTAAATGACAATAATATATACCGCTATGTATGAAGATGATGTTTGTTTAAGAGGTATTTAAAGGAATGGAATATTCTTTCATTTAGCTAGTTGATTAATCAAGTCCTTTGCAGGAAAATACAGATCTACTTAATAAATTCATCTTTCTCTTTCAAAGGTTATCACATCACATTGCAATATGCAGAACACGTGCAAATGAGATTTATTTTTTAATTGACTGGACTACACATTGGCAAGCTTGGAAACATTCTTATGGGTGCAGTATTACCAAGGCCACTGCTCATTTTTAGGAACTCTTCATAGTCACTGCTCATTTTTTTGGCATATATTAAGGTAATTATGGAAACCTTCCAGGATGCTTTCAAAAACTGTTTGTTGCAAGTCTTTGTAACGTATTATTCAAATACGATTCCTAAGGTTTCTTTTCCTTTTCCATACAAACAAGCGAAAAAAGTACAATGGTTGCTATTTCTAGACACATGAAAAATGAAACTCATAATGTTTTCAAATGCTCAAAAACAGGCAAATAATTGGGAAAACAATAACAAAAACTAGGAAAACACTGCTGAGAAACTTTCCATTCATATAGGCCTACCTCTGCACATCAGTTTTTTCAGATATGTTCCCTTCTTGAGTGTTCCTGGATATTTTCATCAAGCAGACGACAAAATCACTGGTTTTAATACTCACATGAAAATAACCTGAACAGTCACCTAATTAAAGAACACAAAATCTTGCAATATGAAGTATCCGACCAACCAGTGAAATGCACAGAGCAAATACAAAATAAAAGGGACTGGATATAAGCAATACACATAACAATTTGTTACAAGTTCTAAAAACTTGGATTGCCTAAATCTGAGAAGATCATAATTTTTCTAATGTCCTTCTAGAAAGAAAACAGTCTAAATTTATGAGACAGCTGATGTGTGGTAAATTATGCTTTCAGTCCTGAGTGGTAATCTCAGAATATTGATGCAAAAGATGCACAACTTGAAAGAAACAACACAGCGTAAACTTTCAGGAATTGAGGTACTGTTCTATTATATGCACTTGCACAGATTTTTAAAACTTTCCAGTAATTGTACACAGTATAAAAATCACTGAAGGCAGCTTCATTATTTTAGTTAACAAAAGCAAGAAAAAAAACAGTATTTGGGCATTATCACCAGGGCAGGTGAGATCACTCAGTTTAACTGAGATCAATCAGTTTAATGTTTAACTGGGGTCTAAGTTCTGGCTTTTGTTAGAGGCAGACTCAGCTTTTCAGTAGCTTGTTTACCACATAATCTTTGATCTTAGGAATCCAATTATCTGGAAACAAATTAAAAACAAATGTGAAAGATATTTTTTCTTCTCTCCTTTTTTCTTTCAGTCCATCAGGTCTGAATTAAGAGTGTTACAGGTAAACACTGATTCTATCAGGTTTGAATTAAGAGCATTACAGGTAAATATTGATTTTGGAAATATTCTGTGCAATATGAGTCATAGCTAAAACACTACTGCAGGAATTGAGCAAGGTTTTGAGGAGAAAAAAATCTAAAGCTTTTAAAAAATTTTCTGCAAACAAAAAGGACTGAAGACCAGTACATCTTCAATGAGTAAGACTACAGCATTTTAAAATTCAATGGGTTTTTATTTTTCCTTTCCTTAACGTTAAATTCACATATTTCAACAAGTTTCAGATGAGAGAGAGAGGCCTCAGAGGAAGAGAAATCTTGATTTCCAGCTGGGAGACCTTTGGACTTTGTTGTCACTTCAAACCTCAAGTAACTTTTCTACCTGTACTAAGAGACCATGCCTATCACATCTAGAATATACCTCAGAAAATTTACGTCATATTTGAATATTGAAGCAGTAGAAAGGTGCCGTTCACAGAACAGGTTGTTTCTTCATAGTACCTCAGCTCCGCTGCCCTCCATGACAGCTCTGAGACCAGCCATGAAATTATGGCTGAAATTCTGCACCTTGAGAACGTCATGTGCT